GAAAGACAAAATGTTACAGGAAGACGAGGCCCAATGGAGAGAAAGAGCACCCAAACACCACATTTACAAGAGGAAGGGCTTTATTTCAGCTGGCAGAGCAAAGGGCATAGAATTCAAAATGGCCACGTGCCCACTGTCTTGGTCTTTCCATTTTTATCTCTAGTCAAAAAGTTCCAACCCACAGGTACCTTTCTCATTGGCCAGTTTGAATCAATTGGGAGAAGCTGTTCCAGCCCCCACCGAACTACAGGATTTCACAGAAGCAGAAATGTCCAGGTCCCAGGAATTTAAGTCTATAAATTCCTAAGAGCTGAGTCACTATGGAGAGGAACCTGCAGGTGTATCTTTGGGGTCTCCTTGAGAAGACCTCTGTTGTCCTAAACCTCACCTTTCCCAGGTATCCTCTCTCAACACCACTAACACAACCACAAAAACAGACTAGGATGGGCAACTGTTCCTTGTGAAAAAAGCACCAGAAAATAGAAAACCTGCTTGCCACTCTCAGAGGCAATCCATCCACATTCCTTTCAGGGAGACACTTCAAGCCACACCAGAGTGTACCCTGGCTAGAGGCTTTCAGTTGACACACTCTTCTGAGCAGACAGGACAACCAGGATGAAATAAATACACACCACCTTAGAGTATTCAGAGGTTACTAAAAAACAAAAAAAGCTCTAACAGTTAAAACAAAGCTTAACAGTAGATGGGTGGCTGGAATAGTTCACCAATCCTTACTCGAATTTTTACTTCTTATATACCCAAAGCTATCCTTTTTCCAATGTGGTATTCTTTTGTTTTGTTTTGTTTTGTTTTGAGACAGAGTCTCATTATATCACCCTCAGTAGAGTGCTGTAGCAGCATAGCTCACAGCAACCTCAAAGTCTTGGGCTTAAGTGATTCTCTTGCCTCAGCCTCCCAAGTGGCTGAGACTACAGGCACCTGCTACAATGCCTGGCTATTTTGTTGTTGTTATTGTCATTATTGTTTATCAGCCCTGGGCTGGGTTCGAACCCGACAGCCCAGGTGTATGTGGCCAGCGCCCTAACCACTGAGAAGGGTGGAGCCATTGACCCCATAAGGTAACTCAGTGACCTATTACAACATTCCATTCCAAAAGTTAATCTCCTAAATCAATCCACCTAAACTACTCAAGATAGGCATCTTTAGGGTGGGAGCTAAATTTACAAACCAGTAAGAATGGGAGACAGAGCTCGAAGGTCAGGGAGGACCTAAACTGACCGAATTGGCTGGGTCATGTCCGCCTTAGCCTGCCTGACTCCATTTTGTTCTCACTGCACGTGCTTTACCCTGGTGCACGCTGTTGTAGAATCAGTCTTAGACACAGCATCATTCACTCTGCAAGAAAAATTACTTCCACCTAAGCACACCCCCCTCTCAGTCTGCACAGACCCCCTACTTTGTTGTTCCTCTGCCTTTGAATAAGTTCATTCCTACGGTAATCTTTCTTTTCCGGCCCTAGGCTTTGTTTTAACTATTTCCCTCACAGTTGCTTTCTACTTTACAGAGTTCCGTCTGAATAGGGAGAGGTTGTTTTTTGCTTTTCAGAGACTCCTTCTAATAGGCTTTGCATAGTCTAGAGAACTAAGACTGAGCACTAAAATCTAGGAGAACAATGTAACAGAAGCACAGAAGATAAATTTAAGATGTGTTACAAGATAATACACATTTCAGCTAAGCTGGAAGACTGGGTAAGTAATTGAAGAAGGTAAATTTTGGCCAGAAGACAGCAGGCCTTTAGTTTCAGGATAAAAAGTAGGAAGTTAGGCGTCTTCTCTTTCCAGCCAGCGCGGAGCAATGGGCATCTCTCGGGACAACTGGCATAAGCGCCGCAAGACAAGGGGCAAGAGAAAGCCCTACCACAAGAAGCGGAAATATGAGTTGGGATGCCCCGCAGCTAACACTAAGATTGGCCGCCACCAAATACATGCTGAAACTTACTGTTCATGTTCGGGGAGGTAACAAGAAATACCATGCCCTGAGACTGGATGTAGGAAACTTCTCTTGGGGCTCAGAGTGTTGTACTAGGAAAACAAGGATCACAGATGTCTACAATGCATCCAATAATGAGCTGGTTCGTACCAAGACCCTGGTGAAGAACTGCATTGTGGTTATTGACAGCACACCGTACCGACAGTGGTATGAGTCCCACTATGCACTGCACCTGGGCCGCAAGAAAGGAGCAAAGCTGACTCCAGAAGAAGAGAGATTTTAAACAAAAAACCTTCAAAAAAAATTCAGAAGAAACATGATGAAAGGAAAAAGAATGCCAAAATAAGCAGGCTTCTGGAGGAGCAGTTCCAGCAGGGCAAGCTGCTTGCATGCATTGCATCAAGACCAGGCCAGTATGGCTGAACAGATGGCTATGGGCTAGAAGGCAAAGAGCTGGAGTTCTGTCTGAGGAAAATCAAGGCCCAGAAAGGCAAATAATTCCTCATCTCTCTTTCCTTTTTTTGTTTTGTTGAAGTTGTCATTGCTTAGCTGGCCCTAGGTTTGAACCCGCCAGCCTTCACGCATGTGGCTGGTGCTATAACCACTGTGCTACAGGAAAGAAGCCTTCCTCTCTTCTGTCTTGGTTCATGTAATAAACCTTCATTATTCAAAAAAAAAAAAAAAGTGGGAAGTTAATCCTTTGGTCAATGGTAAAGAGTAGTTGAGTCAGGCAGCAATTCTTTAACAACTTCAAAAAGACTGAGACGTAATGTCCGGTGTGTAGGGAAAAAGAATTCGAGGCTGGGCACAGTGGCTAATACCTGTAATCCTAGCACTCTGAAAGGCCAAGGTGGGTTCCTCACCTGAGTTCAGGAGTTCTTGATCAGCCTGACCAAGAGTGAGACTTGGCGTCTAAAAATAGCCAGGTTTTGGGGGGTGGGCTTATAGTCCCAGCTACGTGAGAGGCTGAGGCAAGAGGATCACTTGAGCCCAAGAGTTTCAGGTTGCCGTGAGCAAAGAGGCCAGGGCACTATACTAAGGGTGACAAAGTAAAACTCTGTCTCAAAAAAAGAAAAAAAAAAGAGAGAGAGAGAGAGGAATTCAGGACTTCAGGAGCGTGGGCTAGGAAGAGATTGAACAGATACTAATGAGTAGAAGACAGACCATTTTGGCCCTCTCCCTTATGGTAAGTTACCTTTTCCTGCCATAAAATGTGCTGTATATGATTTCTTGTACTGGAAATTTTGGATTCTTGGTTGTCTTTCCCTGACCTTTGATGGCCATCAGAAATAGGTCAGGGAAAGATGACTCAATTGGGAATCTTAATTTCCCAGTGAAAAAAAGAAATCACACATACTACATTTTATACAACTTTTAATTTGGGTGTAAATTTGAACTTCTACATTATAAAATTAATAAAATTCTTTCTAAGCCCAAAGTTGTCATGTAAATTCCCGAAGATTGATCAGGAATGGCTTAATTTCAAAGCTTGATTGCCCAGTGAACTGTAAACTAAGATCTTCCTTTTGCCCGAAGGTGTCTTTTATTTAGTAAAAGAAACACCCACTAGCTTTTATCAGGATCAATCTTAAGTTTTGAACTGAGATGTCTTCAGAACTGTGGCTCTCCATTCACCCTCAAATTGTTTCCTTTCTGAGAACATCTGTGACATAAAAAAAGACTAACACTCCCCTTAACATTTGAGGACCTAAAATGTCAGCACCAAATATTTACAAATCCTACTAAAACACACACACCCCTGAGAACATTAAAAACCACCTCTCCAGGTCTCACCTCCAACCTTACCAAATCAGGAAACTTCAGAAGCACCTGGACATGGGTTTGTAAGAATCATCCCAGTGATTATTAATCAGTAAGGTCTGTTACAGAACTAACAGTCCTTGCACTAGAGAAGATAGTTTTCCTAAGAAGGACCTGTAAATATTCAAAATGAAGCTATGGAACGCTCAACTTCAACCAAGTAATGGCCAGTAGCATGGGCTAAGGGTGAGGGGTGGTTTGAGTGAAATGAAGATTTAATAGGGAAGGTTAAGGAAGTCTAAGGGAGTCAAGTCTCAGTCTCCACACAAGGGTAATTCTTTGTTGGGATGGGGGAGGAACCGCCCTGCATGCAGCCTTCCCAGCTTCATTAGATGCCAGGAACACCTTTTCCACACAACAATGGAAATTTTCACTTTCACATATTGCCCCATGTCCCAGAACATGGCAGTGAAGGACAGCAAAATCTCTTCCTGGCATAAATTAGAGATAGAAATTATAGGAAAAACTAGGTCAGGAACTGACAAACACGTCAGTGGAAAATATATTATTGGACAAAATTTGACAGATGCTTGCAGGCCTATAAAAGAGAAGTAGGTTACAACACTTGAACATTACCTGTGGGAGAGTGATAACTGAGGGCTTCCTGTTTGTACTCTAAGTCCCACAATGTTCCTTACTTAAAAAAAAAAAAAAAAAAAAACGAAAAAACAGAAAAATACAGCTCGATGCCTGTGGCTCAGAGGCTGGGGCATACACCAGAGGTGGTGGGTTGGAACCCAGCCCGGGCCTGCAAAAACCGACAATTACAACAAAAAGATAGCTGGGCGTTGTGGCAGGCACTTGTAGTCCCAGCTACTTGGGAGGCTGAGGCAAGAAAATCGCTAAGCCCAATAGTTTGAGGTTGCTGTGAGCTGTGACGCAAAGGCACTCTACTGAGGGCGACAGATTGAGACTTTGTCTCAAAAAAAAAACCACTTTGGAGACAGTCAAGCAAGCTAAGTAGCAAGGCCACTCTACCTAAAAAACGGTAACAGAACGGTGGTCAAACCTATTGTCTAGGTTCACATACCTTTAGGAACGACCATTAAGGTCGTTCCTATTGCTAGCAGAAGACTCAGTTACCTGACTACAAGAAGGCGCATAACAACCTAAACCTAAAAGCAATTTAGGATCATGGTCACGCCCCGCTTAATTAAAAGCTACCCAACCTTCCAGGAAGTGTTTACAGCCACTTTCACGACAACTGAAGTGGCTCTGAAAAGAGCCTTTGGGGTTAAATAGTTAAGAGCATTTGCTGAGCGCTCTTACTTAGAACTGGTGTACTTGGTGACCGCCTTGGTGCCCTCCGACACGGCGTGCTTGGCCAGCTCCCCAGGTAACAGCAGGCGCACGGCCGTCTGGATCTCCCGAGATGTGATGGTGGAGCGTTTGTTGTAATGCGCCAGACGCGAGGCTTCACCGGCTATACGTTCGAAGATGTCGTTGACAAACGAGTTCATGATACCCATTGCCTTAGAAGAAATACCGGTGTCCGGATGGACCTGCTTCAGCACTTTGTACACGTAAACGGAGTAACTCTCCTTGCGGCTCCGCTTGCGCTTCTTGCCATCTTTCTTCTGTACCTTTGTGACAGCTTTTTTAGAGCCCTTCTTAGGAGCAGGAGCAGATTTCGCAGGATCTGGCATCTTCAACACGAAGAAAAGCCACCCTCAGATGGAATTCCCGACTATATCTAAAGGCGCTGGTTACGCACTATTTATAGAGCTTGTATGCAAATGAAGACTCACACAGTACTGAGTTTCTATTGGCTAATCACAATAGTGTCGTCATAGAGGGGTGGGGCCATCTAAGTAGGTTAGGGCCGAGCTTCCTTAGTGGTCATTAGGAGGGTCTCCTTAACCAATCGAAATGTTTCATTTTACTCTAACAAGTCAGGCACGTAAAGTGGGTTTCATGGGTTTGTGGTCTTTGTTTAGTTGGTTTTCACTTTCAATTCAAGACACGTTAACTTGCCTTATTTTTCCACTATTTTATTTCACGTGCTTTTTTCTATTTCTTGCAGTACCTCAGCCCACACATTAAAAACGCGTTAGGTATTTACTTCATTAAATTACTGCTGAGTTAAGCACTGCCTACTTTGTGCTACGAAGAAGAGACTAAGTCTTAAATTTCCCTTATAAAGCCCCTCAAAGGTTTATAAACAAGACTTTACACACCTTGGGGTTTAGCACTAAGTCTCTTGCCCCTGTGCCAAATTTTCCTTACAAAATTGGCAGAGCTAGCACTCTAAGACTTAAACTAACATGTAAAAACAGGTGTGGCCAGAACCAGAGACCGCGCCTTTCCTATGTCCTCTACCACAGGCCAAGTGACCGGAAGGTGGAACATATGGATTCTGCAGCACCATCTACCGTTACGCTTGTTCCCTGACCCATCTACTCGGAACACCAGTCACCAGCTGAAAAGCTGGTACAGCTGCTCTTCATGACAACGTGAGTGGCTCTGAAAAGAGCCTTTGTGTTAACTATTTAAGGACGTTAAGCCTTAGGCCCGCTCCCCGCGGATGCGGCGGGCCAGCTGAATGTCCTTGGGCATAATGGTCACTCGCTTGGCGTGGATGGCACACAGGTTCGTGTCCTCGAACAACCCCACCAGGTAGGCCTCGCTCGCCTCCTGCAGCGCCATCACGGCCGAGCTCTGGAAGCGCAGGTCGGTCTTAAAGTCCTGCGCGATCTCGCGCACCAGCCGCTGGAAGGGCAGCTTGCGGATCAGCAGCTCGGTGGATTTCTGGTACCGCCGGATCTCCCGCAGGGCCACGGTGCCCGGCCGGTAACGGTGCGGCTTCTTCACGCCGCCCGTGGCCGGGGCACTCTTGCGGGCCGCCTTAGTGGCCAGCTGCTTCCTCGGGGCCTTGCCACCGGTCGACTTACGGGCGGTCTGCTTCGTACGAGCCATGATAGCGCAGTGACGTTAGCAAAGAAAAATCTAGGCAGTCCTATTTATAAACATAGCCTCGTTTCGATTGGGCCTGAAAAATCAGGAATTTCCGGATTTGTAATTTCATTGGTTAAAATTCAGTCCTATTTACTGAAGCAGAAAATTGTTCTGCTCATCTTCCATTCCTGTCCCCTTTCTCTTCTTTTCTATATTCCTATTGATTATAGAATTTTTAAAAACTTTTCCTTTCGATTGATGTAACTTTTATAAATACATTAGGCAAAATATTTTGCATACTTTAATAGGTTTCCTACAATACACGCTTGCTCTTCTATGAGCTAGTTTTCAGCTTATGTTTCAAGTTACCTGTTACTGTAAAACTTCTACTACAGCTAACAGCTGTGCTCAGCAGGTTAGATGCATTTATTATATCATGACCGAAGCTTAACAATATGTAGTTGAGTAATCAAAAATTCAACTTACATTTACTTGACTTCTAAGCCCAGCCATAGCCGTTTCAGTGTGCTGACCTGTACCAACTTGATATTAGAGCCTCTGATTTCATTAAGCCATTTCCCTTGGAATGTGGTTTACTCTTCCTGACCTCCCACATTGATGGCCAGTTAGGTCCTGCACATGAACTGCTTCTAAATCAAGGAAGGATCACTAACACCAGAAATGTTAAATTCTCCTTTGTAATATAGACTAGTCTGTAGTCAAAGGCTTCTCAGCCAGATTACAAATTAAAACCAAGTTCCAATGCAAATTATTCATCTGTTAACTGAATTGCTAACATTTTCTTCAATAAAGAGAAAGCATTTTATAGGGCTTAAAAACTTAGTATTTTGTCTCTCTTCTACAAAGAGAGTGACGATTATTTGCCTTTTGTTTCATATTGCCTTGAAGTATTTTTAGAAAAGTGTATGTCATAAAAACAATGGTTATGATACTGAAAAATTATACTAGTTAATATGAAACTTTTAATCATATGCTTATTTTATTGAAAAATCATCACATACAAACCTTATAAAAGCTCAAACCGGAGAATAAAAGCAGGCCTGAGAAGCTTAAAATTTGCCTTGATGATGTCATTATGAATTACCATAATCCTACAGAAGTCAAGGGGATTTCCTGAGCACTAAACATAACCCAAAATTTGTTAACTTAATATCTTCAAGAGTTGCTCATAGGTAGAAGCAACAACCTCCTCTCAGGAAATCTAAAATGTTATACAAAAGCATAACAAATAATACAGACAAATGCTGTCCCTCTCCATGGTGTTTTTGTAATGTCTTACATATAGAGAGGACTACTCAATTTAGAAGTTCTTCTAGTTGCACTATGTCTTTTAATCCCAACTCTGTGAAACAGGTGTTATTTTTGTCAGTTTATAGATAAGAAAACTGAGTCCCAGAGAAATAATGGGTTGTCCTGGATAAGAAATGAAGCCTGCATAATAGTCTAAAGCAAAAGAGTGAAATTGTTATGATGAAATTTCCTATTTCAGAATAGATAGATAGGGGACATATTTTAAAGCACAAAAGCATTTTCCCATTATGTAATCAAACCATCCAACATTTCTCAAATGTCTCCACTGAACTGTTTCCCATCAGAAAAGGAAATTACCCCATGGGGCATGGATGCCAGTCCAAGGGAGCCTGCTCAAGTGTCGTGGTTATATGTCTTTGCAATATTCTTTCTGTATGATTTATGCATTCTTAACCATAACGTATGGATGTGTTTGTTTTAAATAACAAAGAGATTCTCAAACTATTTTCCAACATAAATTTAAGAGTTATAGGACTTATTTTATTTTTGTAACACAGAGAATAAGATTCCAAAGTAAAAAACCTTATCAATTTCTACTTCTCAGAAAACAGACATCAATTTAAATATTAATTCCAGGATAACAAATTAAATAAGACAATCATCATAAACTTTCAAGGGCTATAGGTAAAATTTCTCACAACAATCTGATGTATGGTTGCCGTAGAAGTCACCTTTAATAACAGAATTCAGATCCACATTAGTTCAATTTTACCTAGTCCCCACACTGGACGCGAGAGAGATAGTCCTGTGAAAGTTCTCAATGCACTGCATTATCAGAAGCAGCTTTGTGATGCAGAAGAACCTTTGCTTTTGAAGGAGTGAAGGGAACTTTACTTGCTATGAATATTTTGAATTAAAGGCCCTTAGGATGCTAGAAGAGACTTTTCCCCTAGCAACACAAAGACCAGACCCATCAAGAAGAACAATTGTTTTTCCTTTCCACCCACCTCCTGTCTCTCAATCCTCTACCTCTCCCAAAACACAGGCTGAAGTTTCCTTATCTGCCTAAAATCTGGACCTACCAAAGAGGAGAACAATTACGTCTGGTCCTTTCCCCAGTTTTCACTAACTGAACCCATATGACAGAAAGGAAGACTTAAGTCTGTCAACAAATCTGTGGTTCAGGCCATTGTATGTTCTTCAAGCCCATGGAATTCCCCTAAAAATCATTTACTATTCCCTTGAAGTCATTCACATTTCCCCATCTCCTTTTCCTCTGAGAAGCAGGGTACATAAGCATCTGTATCCCGCTGGGATACTAGGCAATCATTCTGTAATTCTCCCCAAGCACATGGTAGTAATAAATTTGTAAAGCCTTTTCTTTTATTACACACCTTTTCTCTGTGCTTTTATGAGTTGATTTTTCAATGAACCTTCTAAAGTCAAAGGAAAGCTTCCCCTGCAGCTGAAAGGGAAAGGAAATATTTCTGTTCCTAAAATTTCTGAAGTTTCTTTCACCAGAAATTGAAAGGGCCTATAGTTTGAAGACTGAGAACTGGAATTTCATTAATTAGCACAGAAGGAACAGGCATTATTTCCACACCGGAAATAAGCAGGCAAAAGAAAATTTTAATAAATGAATTATTAGGCGTATAAGGTTTGTATGTTCTTATGTTTATTTTTAATGTGAAAGTAATGAACTGAGTTAAAAATAGATATTCCAGGAAATTTTTGGCTTCACATATGCCCAAGGTTATTTTCTAGGTATCCCCAGCTAAGACCGGTTGAATCTTTGGTTTGTGGGTTGGTCCAGCCCTGAGCCTGATTTTGTTTCATGTTGAGTGGTCTGTGGCCCTGGACTAAGTTGAGAAGCTGTAGGATTTTGAACTTTTGCCTTACCTCATTTTGAGATAAACTTACTCCTTTAATATCCTGCTCACTGGAGAAAAAACTTAGCACCCTTCTCTTTTTTATTGGTCCTTAATACTACATACTACCTGTACTGTTTAGAATTTATGCAATTTCTGGCTTTGCTACAACAAAAGACAGATCAACAAGAGAAAAACAGAAATTTACATGTGTATTTCATACAGATAGGAGAGAGACCCAGGAATGAGTAGTTCTCAAAGAGGTGGCTTTAGATCCCACTTTATATAGCATAAAGCAAATTTTTAAAGAAGTAACAAGACAAAGTAAAAGAATTTTGCATCTCAAGGTGCAGCAACTTGAGGGATAAAGGCTTATTAATAAGCTTGTTAATGCAGACTTCTCTGGTCCAGGCCAATAAGGTTCTAAAACTGGGGGCAGCGCCTGTGGCTCAGTGAGTAGGGCGCTGGCCCCATATACCAAGGGTGGTGGGTTCAAACCTGGCCCCAGCCAAACTACAATGAAAAAATAGCTGGATGTTGTGGTGGGTGCCTATAGTCCCAGCTACTTGGGAGGCTGAGACAAGAGAATCACCTAAGCCCAGGAACTGGAGGTTGCTGTGAACTGTGACATCACAGCACTCTACCGAGGGCAATAAAGTGAGACTCTGTCTCTACAAAAAAAAAAAAGAATCTAAAATTGGCTTCAGTGGTTAACCTTTGCTCTCTTGGTAGAAGAGGAGGTAGATGGCAGTGAAGTAGAGCTAAGGAAATTTCACCTCAAAATATGATTCCTTGGTATAAAGAATATTTTAAGTTAAAAGACCATTTTTTATCAAAAAGCACTGGCCTCTCCCCTATAAAACCTGAGTTACCTGATTTAGAATCAGAAAAGGTTGCTAACTTCCTTATTGCATGGGAATAGACCTGTCTCTGAGGTCATTGGAAGCAACAGACCTATCTCTCAGATTAATCTAAAATTCAATCTGTTTCCACCCATCTACACATCTCCCTAGCAACCACTTACTGCACCTATACTTTCCAGTTTCTCTCCCCCGCCCCAAAAAGACATTTTTAAAAGCCACTGACCATCACTGAGATTTTGGGAAATCATTCTTGTGGTTCCCCCCATGAGCATGGTATTTGGAAATAAATTTTCCTCTTATTAATCTACCATAATTGTGAGTTGAGCTTTCAGCGAACCAGATTAAGGGGAAAGGACAAGTTTCTCTGTGATCCCTACAGCAGGATACCTCTTGTCTTTGTAAATTTATCTCCTGCTTTTGGGTGAATAGAGGAAGGTCAGAGAGCTCTCCTGCATCTGCTGCTTCTTAATTGTTTTCAACTCAACAATCCTTCATAGTTTGGGTGGCATATTCTGGTGTCCCACAGTATCTTTTTTTATCCAACATTCAAATTTTTTAATCAAAAGCATGTGTGTAATCATTTAATACTGACAGCCTTGATAAAAATGTATAAAAAAACATCATTTTACAGGTGAAGAAAGTGGTGGAGAAAGATTCCAGCCCACGGTTCTGACTCCTTCCCTTGAGAAACTTGCAAGACAATAGTTTTCTCATTGGTAAAATAAAAGTCAAATATTAGCTACCCCATAGTCAGGTGAGAATGAAGTAAAACAATCCATGTACAATGTTTCATAAGCTTGAGGCATAGTAAGTATTGATTAAAAGATAGCTACACTATAATTAATAAAGATATACCCAAATTAGTACATTAGAACTGCAAGAAGAAAATAACCTGGGGAATTGACATTTAAGCTAAAACTTTAAAAAGAATTTTAGCCAACAGAATAAAAAGACAAAGTAGACTAAGGAAGCATCATATAGAAAGGTAGGAAGCAAAGACATAGACCAACAAGGACTTTTA